TCATACATTTAAAAAGCTAGAATTTCTTGGAGCTTCAATGATTTAACTATTTAGCAGGCTATTTATAACTATTTTTGTACTTTCAATTGAAATTAATAATGATTTCATTTAACTCTCTGTTTTGTTTTTTTTAATCCTTACCCATAGATATGTTTTACTGACTTTAGAGAGGGAAGAAGGTGGAGAGAGGTAGAGATGAATTAATGTATAAGAAAAACATCAATTGGTTGTCTTCTGCAGGTGCCACAGCAGTGATCAAAATCATAACCCAGGTATGTATCATAACCAGGAATGGAACCAGCAACCTCTCTTTGCATAAGATGATGTTCCAACAAACTGAGAACAACTCAAATTTGGATTTTAGCCAAGGAGAATAGAACGAATGCCTTTGCCTACTGCGAACTATATAACTTGGCTTTAAAATGTATCTCTCTTGCCGAAACCGGTTTGGCTCAGTGGATAGAGCATCGGCCTGTGGATTGAAAGGTCTCGGGTTTAATTCTGGTCAAGGGCATGTACCTTGGTTGTGGGGGGAGGGGGGGAGCAGGTGTGCAAGAGGCAGCTGGTCGATGTTTCTCTCCCATTGACGTTTCTAGCTCTTTATCTCTCTCCCTTCTTCTCTGTAAAAAATCAATAAAATATATATTAAAAATTTTTTAAAAAAATAAAGAAAAAAATGTATCTTTCTCATCCTCTGGGAGTCTTATGATGGATATAAAAAAAGATATCCAAGAGCCTCTTTTTTAGGATAAAGAAATGCATCTTTGTTTTATAGATATAGGAAGAAGAAGCAAGAGAAAATATTGTTTTAATTATTTTTTTTTTTGGAAAGAATAGAATATAAAATCCACCTTCAACAAAATGTTAAGTGTACAGTACATTATTATTATTATGGGTACATTTTGTAGACTTATAGAGCATGTTCATCTTGCTTGACTGAAACTTTATGGCCCTTGATTAATATTATTTTCCCCACCCCCTAACTAATAGCAACCACCAGTCCACTCTGATTCTGTTAATTTGACAACTTTTTAAAGATAAAGTAGTTTAATTTATTATTTTTTCTTCCTTGTGAGCCCAGGTGCCTAACCTAGATTAGCCTCCAAATTTGCTTGAAAGGGGTGTCCATTTTCATTTTTCTATGGGACTTGCTAAACTTTGGGCAGATAAAGAAATACTTCATAGTCTTTAATAAAATTGAGTCCTGAAGAGCCTTGGAGGTCAATGGATGAGGAAGTTCCCATGGGTAGTTGGAGAGATTATGTATATATTAGAAATTATGCTAAAATACTTACTGATAAAAATATAGAATAAAACACATTTAGAAACTGCTCATTTTAATCATGTATAGTTAAATTTTTGAAAAAATATTTATATATACTAGGTGTACTGGTAAATTTTGTAATCAAAGAAAACATGATGATTTCAGGAGAAACATCAAAAGTGCTTTATTCAAAGTAATGCCCCTATATTTCAGGTAAGTTGTGGATACCATCCCAATTTTGTGCATTGGGCCTCTAGTAAATGTATAAAAGACCTCTGGGAGGACTTTAACAGAGAGATTGACAACAATACAGTCATAGTAGGGACTTTAACACCCCTTCTGATTATCCTAGATAGCTCTTCCAGACAAAGACTTAACAAGGAAACAGTGACTCTAAAGGACACATTGGATCAGATGAATTAAATTGACATTTATAGAACATTTCAACCTAAACCAGCAGAATATATATTCTTCTCAAATGCACATAGATCATTCACAAAGATAGACTACATGTTAGGACAAAAAACAAGTCTCTACAAATTAAGAAAGATTAAATCTATCAAAGCATCTTCTCAGATCACAGAGGAATGAAATTAGAAATCAACTACAGTAAAAACACCCCAAAACATTCACACATGGAGGCTAAATAGCATTAAACAACTAGACACCTGATGCATGAAATTTGTGCATTTGAGGGGGGCCCCACAGCCTGTGCCCTCTCACAGTCTGGGAGCCCTGGGGGGATGTCCGACTGACAGCTTAGTGGGTCTATGCGGTCAGTCTGACATCATTAACATTGCCTTGGAGGTGGGAGAGGCCCCCACCACTGCTGCTGTGCTCACCAGTCATTAGCCCAGCTTCTACCTCAGTGGCACTCCCCTTATAGGAGTGCACTGACCACCAGGGGGCAGCTTCTGTATTGAGTGTCTGTGCACATCATAGAGACTGATCATTCCACCATTTGGTCATTTGCATATTAGCCTTTTATTATGTAGGATATGCAGTAGATGAAGCTCCCTAGAACCATAAGAAATGCAAAAAAAAAAAAAAAAAAAAAAAAAAGTCAGTTAACTTATTCTTGAATTTCCCCCTCTTAAAATTAAATTGCTCCCACTTTAGGGTAAGTGCTGCACCTTGGGAACCAGTGGGCTTGTCACTTCCTCTCTGAGCTTCATTTGTGAATACATAAGCATATACCATAGGAATTGTATGCCTACCTAACTGAGTTGTCATGAGGAGGTTCTGAGCTAATAAACCTAGAAATGTTTCATCAAGTAAGTTATGTTTAAACTGGAAGGGATTGTTGTTTTTAAGCCCACAGGAAGCAGGTAGCAGGTGCTGATTAGGGGAGGAGGCCATGATTGTTTCCTGGGACTGTAGCTATGTAATCTTTGCAGAGGGTTCTGCAGGCCTCAGAGGGGCGGGCTCTGGCCAGCAGTCCTGTACTGTGGCCATCCCTGGAGGATCTAGAAGGAGGTGGGGCATTAGAGGGGTACTAGGGGGGCAGCAAGGCCAAAGGGGGAGTTACTGTATCTTCCCACTTGGAGTCATTCTTTAAATTGTATGTGGCTGTTTCACAGCTATACCTACTCAGGGCAGGGCTCTGATCTCCTGGAACAGGGAGGAGCCAGGTGGGCTAGGAGGGTGGGTTTAGTCACTCCCCCAGCGAGGTTCAGCACAATTCAGCTGTGGAGATGGTGCTGCTATTGTCGGGTGAAAGGTATGACCCTGGGGGGCCACTCAAGCCTGCCTTCCCCTAGGTCTTGTTGTAGGGAGGAGAGGCATGCCCAGCACCAGCGGAGGGGGCCTGGCAGTGGCAGACTGTGGGCCCCAGGGATGCTGAGGGGTGATCACCCGCATGCTATTGTTGTGGGAGCTCTTGGTGGGGGTGGCAGGGGAAGAGATCAGGAGTTGGAGGTGCAGGCTGCATCTACCCCTGAGACTGGATCTTCTTCCCATCTGGTCAGCCTCCCCATCACCCCTGGGGTTCAGGGGCTGGGTAGAGTGTCCCTGCAGGGGCATTGGAAGAGCTCCTCATGGCCACTTCCTCTTCCTTCTTTGCAGTCCAGGCTCCTGTCAGGCACTCTCCTCAGACCCCCGGGAACTTGGTTCCGGCTGCCTGCCTCCAGTGGCATGCGCATCAATATGCAAATAGGTCATTATGGGGACACCATTATATACAACAAATTAGCATATTACCTCTTTATATGTATAGATGAATGGGTTGCCAACAAGGTCAAGAAAGAAGTAAAAAAACTTTCTGGTAACAAATGAAAATGAACACACAACAACCCAAATCTCTGGGACACAGCAAAAGCAGTCCTGAGAGGGAAATTCACAGTCTATAGGCATACCTCAAAAAAAAAAAAAAACAACAGAAAAATCAGCCATAACTATTGAACCCTACAACATGAAGACTGTAAAGAGTCCTAACCTGTTTGGCTCAGTGGATAGAGCATCAGCCTGTGGACTGAAGGGTCCCAGATTCCAACCCAGTTAAGGTATATACCTTGGTTTCAGGCACATTGCTAGTAGAGATGTGCAGGAGGCAGCTGATTGATGTTTCTCTCTCAACAATGATTCTAACTATCCCTTTCCCTTCCTCTCTGTAAAAAAATTAATTTATTTTTAAAAACAGAACTATAAAGAGAACAACAAGAAAAGTCCAGAGTAAGCAGAAGAAACTAAATAGTAAAGATTAGAGCAGAAATAATAACATGGACTCAAAAAAAAAAAAAAAAGGCAACAATAAAAATAAAATCAACAAAACCAAGAGCTGGTTATTTCAAAGGATAAACAAAGTTGATGACCTGTAGGTCAGACTCATTAAGAAAGAAAGAGAGAGGACCCAAATAAATAAAACCAAAACTGAAAGTGGAAAAGGAACTACTGATAACACAGAAATACAAAGGAGTGTAAGAAAATACACAGAAATACAAAGGATTGTAAGAAAATACTATGAACAATTATATTCCAACAAGTTGGACAATGTGAATGAAAGGGACAAATTCCTAGAAAAATATAATCTCCCAAAAATGAATCATGAAGAATCATAATACCTAAATAGGCAAAATACAACTGACAAAATAGGAGCAATAATAAAAATCCCCCAGCAAACAAAAGCCCAGCTCTGGTTGGCTCTACAGGGGAGTTTTACCAACATTCATAGAACAACTAACTGATACTCCTCAAAATATTCCAAAAAAAAAAAAATCCAAGAGAAAGGGATACTTCCAGACATGTTTTTTATGATGCTAGCATTATCCTAATTCCAAAACCATATAAAGACATTATAAAGAAAGGAAATTACCGGCCAATATCCCTGATGAACATGGATCCTAAAATCCTTAGCAAAATATTAGCAAATTGGATCTAGCAATATATTAAAAAGAGCATTCATGATGACCAATTGGCACTTATTCCAGGGATGCAATGCTGGTACAATACTTGCAAATCAATAAACGTGATACGTAAATCGCATAAACAAATTGAAAAACAAAAATCACATGATCATATCACTAGATGGAGAAAAATCAACAAAATCCAACACTCACTTTTGATAAAAACTCAGCAAAGTGGGAATAGAGGAAGCCATATATGACAAAACTACAGAGGACATACTCAATGGGCAAAAACTAAAACAATTTTCCCTAAGAACAGGAATAAGACAGGGATTTCTGCTTTCAACACTCTTATTACTCAACATAGTAGTGGAAACGCATGGCCGTGGACAAAGATGTCGACTGCCATGTACTTGGAGCACTACCTGGGCAGTACTGAGCACCTTCCTTCTGAACTTCAGAGGAATTTCCAGCTGATGCATGAGCAGAGGACAGAAGATCAGAAAGCAGAGATTGACATCCTGGCCACGGAGTACATCTCTACAGTGAAGACTCTGTCCCCAGAGCAGCGAGCAGAGAATCTGCAGAAGATCCAGTGTCTACAGCAAGTGCAAGGAGTATAGCGATGACAAGGTGCAGCTGGCCATGCAAACCTATGAGATGGTGGATAAACAAATTTGGAGGCTCGATGCAGACCTGGCGTGCTTTGAAGCAGACCTGAAAGACAAGCTGGAAGGTAGTGACTTTGAGAGCTCTGGAGGATGAGGTTTAAGAAAAGGTCGAAGCCAGAAAGAAAAGTTCCCGGTGGTGAGGCAGAAGGACCTCAGAAGAAGACAGTCCAAAGAAAAAGAAGCATAAAGGAGGGTCAAAGTTCACTGACACTATCCTGTCTGTGCATCCCTCTGATGTGCTGGACATGCCTGTGGACCCCAACAAGCCCACCTACTGTCTCTGCCACCAAGTGTAATGATTTCTGTGACAACCCAGATTATTTGATCGAGTGGTTTCACTTTGCCTGTGTAGACCTGACTACGAAGCCCAAAGGGAAATCATTCTGTCCTCAGTGCGTCCAGGAGAGGAGGAAGAAGTAAGGAAGAGGATGACACCGAGCTTGAAGAGCAAGTAGATACACTCCTTTATTCACGTTGCAATATTTTACCTTCATCTTAAAGCTACCTTATTTTGAATGATATTTAATAACTCAGGGGCCAGTTGTAACTTTGGATATTTCCTAAAACCAACAAGAACCCACCTGATACCCTGTTTGCACAGAGGAGGGATCTTGCCACAGTGACTTTGTTCTCATGACTTGTTGTACAGACCCAGCACTGAGCACAGCTGTCCCATCACCCCGAGGACTCCGTGGGTGTGTGCATGCCGTGTGCTGAGTAGGGTGGAACGTGCCAGCTGGGAGCAGATACTGCCATCATTTTGCAGCTAGAGGTGGAGCCTTGTATGGTCTGCAGTTTCCTGGGCTTCCCCTGAGAGCCCACACCACTCTATGCACACGCTAAGAGCACAGGTGTGTAGTCTGGTGGGCGTTGCCGGAAGGCACCCTCCAGACTCAGGTGCGCTGGGAGCTCACGTCCGCACAGGAAGGCTGCACCTCCCAGAAGGTGCTCTGCGTGGCTGTGCATTGCCTTTTTACCTGGACTGCCAGTTTTTCCCTGAGGTTTCACTGTCCAGAGTAAACCGCCCTGGATTGGCAGATGGGCTGTACGTGACCATGACCAGCACCAGTAAGAAACAGGGTAACAGACTGGCAGATGTTCCATTTCTCTGGGAATTCCGGATGTTTTTACTGTGAAGATGAAATTATTGCAATTGCACAAAGTCTGTCTGTGAAGTGAATCCAGTCTACCAAGAGCTGATTTTGAACCTGCTTCTATTACACACTGGGTCAACATTTTGTCTTCCAGAGGACTACAATTATGTGATGTGATTTGTGAATTTGTGCCACAATAGCAGTTCTGGAATGAAGCTAGGAAACTAGAGTGTACTTTCTTTTTAATCAGCATTCACCCACCTGGTTTTAAACCGTCTCTTTGGTACTAGTTGGGGACATCGCCCACATTTGGTATGTTGAGATGGTACCTAGAGTGGGGCCTCTGGGAGTGCCCCTGGACTCTCCAAGACCCCCTGCGTGATTCAGATAAGTCAGGGTTTCTTTTGCCAGAAAAAAAAATCCAAGAGATAGAATCGAGGTGTGAAATGCCCAGCTTCAGAAGAATCTCTGTGATGAGCGTCCTCTGGAGTGGCCCACCTGCAGAGGAACCGGTGAAGCTGCATCCTAGACCAACCTCTCCATGAAAATGAGTTAATATTTGGCAATTAGGAGCAGATATCAGAGGGCAGCTGGGGTCCAGCTGGAATCTGTGGCCCTTAGTGAGTTGCACAGAACGTGTCCGACTGCTGTCCTTTCTAGAGCCACCCGAGGGAGCAGGACTTGCTTCCAAAGGACTGCTGGTGGGGATCACTTCAGCTTGTGTGCTGGTGGTTAGGGTAGGGGTCAGCAGCTGCCACAGCCTGTCCTTGGTGGGTTCCAGGCCTGATGCACTGTCTCAGAGCCAATGTCTTCTTGCTGCTCAGGAAGAAGTAACTCAGCTGCACTGGAACACGAGGCCCTCTTCTATTTAGAAACTTAGCTTTTACATTACAGGTGTCTAAAGATTGTGAAAATGTCAGTTGTAGACATTTTCCCCCACTTTTACCAGTTTTTGTGGAGAGGGTTGGTAAGTACATTAAGTTTGTGATGATTCTTTGGAAGCGAATTTAATATTTGCACTTCATCTTTAAACACACTCACTTGCCACTGGAACACAGCGTGTTTGTGAATGCAGGTTAATGGCTGGCTCATTTCAATTGTCACCTGGTTTCTCAAGGCCATGCTCATTTCCTGAGAATCAGACTAACTTCTGTCTTAAGTTTTTGTTTAAACTTCAATGTTGTCATTCTGCTTGTCACTGTGCAGCATCCCACGTGTCAACTTTTTATAAGTTTCTATGCTTATCTGTTTCTAGTGTTTACTTTTGCCAGTGACAATAATATTACTAAAATAATATGCAGACAGCTTTGAAAAAAAGTGGAAATCATGAGCATGATAGGAAGGTCCTCTGGGATGTTTGGAGAATGTCTGAATGCCATTTCTGACCATTAATACTGTCGGAATCAGAAAGACAAAAGGGTGGCTTTCTGGTTGAGAAAGAATGTCAGGCCACCTGGCTGGCTTTGGCCCTGGATGGCTGGAGTACCACAGTGATTTGCTCCCCATAACTTGGCTGCCCTCATCTTGGGGGTGATTCAGGCTGGAACCCTGTCTGTGCCTGCCAAGTCCCATCTCTGATCCTGAGGACAGCAGTGGAGCCAACTTCATCCCTCAGGTTGCAGGATCTGGGCTGGGCCCAGCAGGTGAGGATGTGGTCTCCATGGCTGGGGTTTACTGGTAAGGGAAGAAATATCTTGTTCAGAGGAGAAGCAAAATCATTTTTCTTATTCTCAGTGCTATGTTTTCAGCTAGCATTTGAGAAATTCCTCTTGTTTTCCAGCAGGACAAATCTACAGTAACAGTTTTTTTGTTTGTTTGTTTGTTTGTTTTAAATATATTTTATTGATTTTTTACAGAGAGGAAAGGAGGGCGATAGAGAGCTAGAAACGTTGATGAGAGAGAAACATCGATCAGCTGCCTCTTGCACCCTCCCCCCCCCCCACTGGGGATGTGCCCGCAACCTACATACATGCCCCTGACCGGAATCAAACCTGGGACCTTTCAGTCCGCAGACCGACGCTCTACCACTGAGCCAAACCGGTTTCGGCTACAGTAACAGTTTTTTAAGCTGAGCTCTGCATCTCTGGCTGAGTGGAGCTGTTGGCTGGGCTGAGGCCCGAGTGACTATCCTCACTGTGCAGCCTGGGCCCCAGGCAGGTGGATGTGAGCCTGGACTAGCCAGGGCCCTGGAAGCCGGATGTACAGCTGTGTGTGGTGAATGCATGGAGATGCCGGCCAGCCTTGTGTCAGTGCTGTTCCAGGGAGCCACACTGCACTTGCCTCCTGCCTTGTCCTTGGTAGGGGCTGCTTCAAGCAATAATTGTCCACATGCCACAACCAAGGCCTGCCCCGTCACAGGATTTGGGCACTTCTTATGGGCATTGTTGAGTTAAGGTTTTCCTCCATTTTTAATGAACAGTGATTAGTTGTCTTTACCTGTGCTGAGAGGCATTTACAGTGGGAAGTCTAAGAAATGTCCTCATTCAGGAGACAGTCCTATGAAGTTTCTTCCTTTGTACGTGGTCTGTGGTGTTCACTTTTACCACATTTCATACAAAAAGACGATGCAGCTTTAACATGAATGTTACATTTTATTTTCAAGGAATTATTACCTACTATGTTACCTTTGTAACGGAGAGATAATATTGTAAATCTTTTTATTAAATAATGTAAAGATGTATATATGTATTTTGATCATGTTATAGATTATGGATATATTGTTTAATAAATAAAGTATTTTTTAACAAAAAAAAAAAAAACACAAAAAAACACAAAAACAACATAATACTGGAAGTCCAAGCCACAGTGATCAGATAAGAAGAAGAAATAAAAGGCATTCAAATTGGAAAGAAGGAAGTAGAACTCTCATTATTCACAGGTGACATGATATTGTACACAGAAAACCCCAAAGACTCCAACAAAAAACTACCAGATTTAGTAAATGAATTTGGCAATGTAGTAGGATACAAAATTAACACCCAGAAATTGATAACTTTTTTATATACACCAAAAATGAATTCTCAGAAAGAGAAACTAAACAAATAATCCTATTGACCATTGAAACAAAAACAAAAAATTCAAGATACTTTAGAAATAAACTTAGCCAAGGAGGCTAAAGACCTGTAGTTAGAAAACAATAGGATGTTGAAAAAAGGAGACAGGAGAGGATATAAACAGGTGGAAGAATATAGCATGTTTATAGATTGGTAGAATCAACAACATTAAAATGTCCATATTACCTAAGGCAATCTACAGATTCAATGCAGTCCCTATTAAAATATCAATGGCATATTTCACAGAGCTAGAACAAATACTCCAAAAATTTATATGAATCAAAAAAGGCCCCAAATAGCTATAGTAATCTTGAGAAAGAAAAACAAAGTGGGAGGAATCACAATATTATATTTCTGGTTATACTGCAAAGCCACCATAATAATACAGTCTGGTACTGACACAAGAACAGGCATATAGACAAATGGAACATAACAAAGAGCCTAGAAATTGGCCCAGACCATTACAGTTAATTACTATTTGACAAAGGAGGTATGCGCATACAATGGAGTGAAGAGAGTCTCTTCAATAAATTATATTGGGAAAATTAAACAGATACATGCAAAAGAATGAAACTAGACCATCAACTTACACCATACAGAAGAATAAATTCAATATGGATAAAAGACTTAAATGTAAGTAGTGAAACCATAAAAATCCTTGAAGGAATAATAGGCAGCAAAATCTCAGACATCTCTCACAGCAATATGTTTATGGATACATCTCCTAAGGCAAAGGGAACTAAGGGGAAAATAAACAACTGGGACTACATCAACAAAACTAAAAGGTACCCCACTTTATGGGAGA